TATGAAAGAACAAAAGACTGCAAATAGCCAAAACAACCCTGAGCAAAAAATAAATGAGTAAACCCAAGGTTTAACAGTACCCGACTTCGAATCGTAGTACTAAGCTATAGTAACCAAAAGAGCTTGGTACTGGCATAAAAACAGACACTCAGACTAATGGAGCAGAATAGAGTACCGAGAAATCAACCCACAAAATTTCAACCAACTGATCTTTGACAAAGGCAACAAAAATATACATTGAGGAAAAGATTTCTTCTTCAATAAATGGTGCTGGAGAAATTGAACATCCATATTGTAGAAGAATGAAATTAGACCCGTACCTGTCCCCCTATTTGAAATCAACTCAAAAAGGATTAAAGACCTAAGTATAAACCCTGAAACTATAAAACTCTTAAAAGAAACATAGAGGAAACACTTCAGGATGTGGGACTGGGCAAAGAATTTATGAATAAGTCCCCAAAAGCACAGACAACAAAAGAAGAAATAAACAAATGAGATTATATCAAGCTAAAAAACTTCTGCACAGGTAAAGAAACAGTTAGCACAGTGAAAAGACAACCTACAGAATGGAAGAAAATATTTGTAAGCTTTGCATCCCACAAAGGATTAATATCCAGAATACACTAGGAACTCAAACAACTTAAGAGGAAGAAAAATGCAACCCAATTTGAAAAAATGGCAAGAGGAGCTAAATAGGCATTTCTCAAAGGAAGATACACAAGCGGCAAACAGACACATGATGAAATGCTCCACATCACTAAGCATCAGAGAAATGCAAATCAAAAACCACCTTGAGATATCATCTCACCCCAGCCATTATCGAAAAGACTGGGAATAACAAATGCTGGTGAGGATTCAGAGAGAGGAGAACTTCCCACACCGTAGGCAGGACTGTAAATTAGTGTAGCTATTGTGGAAAACAGTATGGAGTTTACTTAAACGACTATGGATAGAATTGTCATAAGATTCAGCAATTCCACTGATGAGTATTTAACCAAAGGAATGGAAATCATCATGTCGAAGGGATACCTGCACTCCTATGATTTTTGCAGCTGTTTTTAAAATAGCCAAGAGTTGGAGCCAACTAAATGTCCATCGACAGATGACTGGATAAGGAAAATGTGGTATACATACACAAGAGAATACTACTCTGCTATAAAGGAGAGTTAAAATCTGACATTCGCAGCAACATAGATGAACTAAATGAAAATTAATTGAAATAATCTAGACACAGAAGGAGAAATACCACATGTCCTCAGTCATAGTGGGAGGTAATAAATAAATAAATAAATAAATAAAAATAAATAAGTAAATAAATAAATAAATAAGAAAGATGCAACAATCACAACAATTTGTTGAATGTTTAAAATGAGAGGACAGAACTGAGGTCACCAGAAGTTGGAAAGGGATTGGGGATTTCAGGTTAGGGAGAAATTGGTAAAGGACCACAAAAAATTGTTACATTGTACAATGTTGACTATACTAATTATCCTGATTTGAGCATCACCGTTGCACACAGCTATTGATATTCAATACTGGACCCCACAAATATGTACAATCAATTATGTTCCAATACATAAAAAAAATAAAATACTAAATATTTAAAATATATTACGAATATTTATTAGTAATATAAATTCCCATCCTTTTCTATTGGGAATCCTTCATGATAGATTTTCTGGTCTGGTCACATGAAACTGATGGTATTTGGTAGCTCCTTTGCTTTCTTGTAAATAAAAGGGTCTGAACTAATCTTTATGTCCTGTCCTAACTGGATTCAGTTATTTCCTCAGGAAAAAATTAAGTAATTTTGACTATATATATTTATATGTTAATAATTTTGACTATATATTTCATATACAATTTATTATACAATAGACAAATTTATCATAAAATAAACATATTTTATGATATAAAGACAAAATTATTATAATTTTAATAAAATAAAATTTTTTATAATAATTTATGAATTTATAATATATAACATAATATAAATTATTTAGAAAACTATAGTGAAATAGTTTTCCTTAAAATTTAGTGAAAATAATTTTTCTTTGCTTGGTATAGTCCTAATTTTTCATGAAATTATGTTCTTTTTTTTTTAGGTTATATTTTTAGGTTTGTGGATTATATTTCATATATTTTGCTATTACGTATATTCAAAAAATTATGTACTTCTAATCCCAAACAACAAAGACACAATCACAGTACTCTAACCTCATCCTGTCTTCTCTGCAGTTTCCTCTGTCCCTCACAATTACTCACTTTTTAAGGATTTGCTTTCTTCTTTCATGTTACAAATATAAAATTATAGACACAAATACACACTCAGCGTACCAAGATGCTATTTATCTTTGGTTATGGTAAAGCTAATTGCACATGACGTTCTGAGTTTTATTTTTCTTTTATCCCTGCCCCCTCCATAAAACTGTGTGTCCTGAAGGGTCAGATGCCAAGAGAATATCCTTATAACGTACACAGCTGCCCCATGCTTCACCGTGGGGATGCACTGGGGTTTATTTAAGTTCTCTTTGATTGAGGTTGGGTGGACTCCAGTCATTGTGTTGTTACAAATAATAATTCTGCAAGAAATAGCTTTGTACTTACAAAAGACCTATTATTAATGTTCATATTCACTTGGAATAATGGGTGTTGTGAGAAAAAGCATGTTCTAGATGTGATGAAAATAACTCAATTTTCTTTTTCAATCTCCAGATTCTTCTGATTTAAGTAAATTCAAACTTCAACATTTTTTCCACATGGATGGACTGGTTTATATTAACTTGAATTGGGGTATTACCTTACTCACTCAGACTGCTGCTGGAATCCTTGGAAATTCTTCACTCCTTTGCTTTTATAACTTTACTTTTATCACTGCACAGAGATTGAGACCCACAGACTTGATTCTCAACCAGCTGGTCTTAGCTAACAACTTGGTTATTCTCTCTAAAGGGATCCCTCAGACAATGGCAGCTTTGGGATTGAAATCTTTCCTGGATGAGGCTGGATGTAAAGTTGTCTTCTATTTACACAGAGTGGCCAGAGGGGTTACTCTCAGCACCACCTGCCTCCTCAGTGGCTTTCAGGCCATGAAACTTTGCCCCAGTATCTCTGTGTGGATGGAAATCAAAATTAAATCTCCAAAGTGCATCGTTTTCTGCTGTTTTCTTTGCTGGATCTTGCATCTTGTGTTAAATATCTCTGTTGTAAAACATGTAACTGGCCAAACAAATAACAAAAACATGAGCATGGAAAAAATGTACAGATACTGTTCCTCACCCACTTTAGGGAGACTGCTATTCTCAGTAAATGCAGTCATTTTCTTGGTCACTGATGTTATGTTTTGGGGCCTCATGGTTTGGACTAGCAGGTTCATGGTCCTTTTTCTGTACAGACACAAGCAGCGGGTACAACACATTCACAGCAGCAGGATCTCACCCAGAACTTATTATGAAACTAGAGCCACATGCATTATCCTGATCCTGGTGAGCATGTTTGTCTCCTTTCATGCTCTATCTAGCACTTTATCATTTTGGATAACCCAGATTCAAAATCCAATCCCTTGGCTGATAAACATCTCTTCCCTGGTGTCTCTGGGCTTCCCAACATTCAGCCCCTTTGTGTTTATTTTTAGTGATACCCGAGTCTCACGGTTCTACTTTGCCTGCTAGACAAGAAAGACAAATGCTCCAAGTATGGTCTCTGGACTCTAAGCTTCCTCCAAAATATTGCATCATTTATTTAATCACCTGTTCTCTCAATATTTGTAGGATTATTAAGTATGCCAGTCAATGTGGAAAGACTTGGGACTCAGTATTGAATAAAAATGATAATAATATAATATCACATTGCTTATTACACTGTCAAAAAATAAACTTGATGTAGAAAATTACCCAAATGTATGGTGGTTCCTCAAAAAATTAAACTTAGAATTGATACTTATAGAGAGGGTCTGACGGGGCCTGATGGCCGACCTCAACCTGCCCTGTCCTCTTAACACATTCTTTCCACCACAAGAAAGATTTCAGGAGCAGAGTCACAGTAGAAAGTGAGAACAAATTTAATGTAACAAATAAGAGAAAGGGGGGGCACAGAGAGAGTCGGGGGGGGGCTCCAGGGACTGAACAGGGCCCACATCAAGTTTAATATGAAAGTAAGAAATACAGATTCACAGACAAAATGCAGGTTGGCTGTAGAGTGAATATCGGCCTACAAAAAGCAAGTTTGATACAAAAAGAAAACAATACACAACTCAGGCTAAGTGCGGACTGGCTCTAGGAAAGTGAGCAGCAACCCTGCCTTCTACCAGGACTCCACTTGCATAGTTTTGCCATCTAATACATGTTCATGCTATCTAAGGAATATTCAACTAAAGGGAGTAAAATTTTGAATAAGGAATATTCAACTAAAGGGAGTAAATGTTACCAGTTAGGTAACATTTTTCTTGTACCACTCAATTACTCTCCTTCTAGGCATGTTCATTGGTCAAATTCTACCACATGCACCGAACGTGTTCAAGAATATTCTGTGCTCTTTAGCATCTCTAGTGGAAGGTCATTTAAAGGATAGATTCCACTTTACTCAGCATGCTTTACCTAATAGGGTTGTATAACCCCTTTCTACTGAGCATGTCCAGACACTGGATTTGCATGTGTCTGCCCTTTCAGGTCCAAATTTCTCCATGTCGGTGCCAAAAATAGGTTCAAGAAGCAGGAGTAACAATCCTCTAGGAGAGGGCATGGAGAAGGGGCCTGAGTCCTTGATGAGTGGCTTGAAACCCAGGTGTGTGTCATCAAACCTGAACCCACAGAAACGGAGCACCTCCTATCTCATAACTACCAAATAATACAGCAATTCCACTTATGTGTATATATCTAATGGAATATTACTAGTGTTAAAAATGAAGGACTTTGTGACTTGTTGGTTTGTGTCGCTTTTCCCCCCCATGGATTTGTCACCCCACTTCCCCTGGGTGACAGAGATGCAAATGATCACTCAAAGCCCATCTCTATTGAGCAGTGACAAGCCCCAAAGTGATTAATCTCCCACCAGAACCCTCAAGTGAGAGGGATTCCTTCCTTGGGAAGTTAACCCCGAATTGGCGTTCTCTTCCTGCATTTATTTTCCAGACCAGGAAGTTACAGGAAGAGACATAGGTGGGGTGATAGTTTAACAATATAGGCTGGTAACTTTCAGTGAAACAAGCCAGATGACATTCCAGTAAGGCAATCAACAAAAGCTTGATCTTAGTAAACATTCCTTCCTATAGCTATTTCTCAGTATCTTAACATAACAATCAGTAACCAGTCTGTCTTTGAGCCAGCAACCTGCTGTGCCACAATTCTTATCTTGCAACAAAGACTCACTAGCCTAGGGACAATTTCCTGTCCTTGCAAAGTCAATATTTGAAACTGCAAGGCTTTAGAAAACAGGCCCTGTGTGGTAACATTTCCTTTATAGTATATTCCACAGTAACTGATACATGCCACATCACAGATGGACCTTGAAGATGTTATGTTATGCGAAATAAGCCAGTCACAAAAGGACTAATACTGTATGATTCTACTTATCTGAGGTACTTAGAATAGTCAAACTCAGAGAAAGAGAAAATAAAACTCTAGTTACCAGGGTCTGGGGAAAGAGTAAATGGGGAGCTGATATTTAATGGGTATAGAGTTTCAATTGGGGAAGATAAAAAAATTACAGAGATGGATGATGGTGATGGTTGTGCAATAAGGTGAATACACTTTACAGTACTTAGCTGTACACTTAAAAATACTTAAAATGTTAAATTTTATGTCATGTGTCTTTTAAATCATAATTTAAAAAGAAGGAGTGCTGAAAATACAAAACAGAAAAGATAATGATTAAAATAAAGTCCGCTGTTAGCCAAGGGCTGATATTTAATGGGTATAGAGTTTCAATTGGGGAAGATAAAAAAATTACAGAGATGGATGATGGTGATGGTTGTGCAATAAGGTGAATACACTTTACAGTACTTAGCTGTACACTTAAAAATACTTAAAATGTTAAATTTTATGTCATGTGTCTTTTAAATCATAATTTAAAAAGAAAGAGTGCTGAAAATACAAAACAGAAAAGATGATGATTAAAATAAAGTCTGCTATTAGCCAAGACACAACCATAGAAATCAACATCACTTTTCTCTCTCTTACCCCACTTCCAAGAGAGATTAGCTCCTGTTATGCATTCTACCTTCTTAGCAATGTTCACGTTTGCCCTCTTCTCTCTATTTCCATGGACCCTGACCCAGGTTTTTTTTTTTCTCTTTGCATGTGATTTGCATCATCCTCCTCCTCAGATAAAATTTTTAGCCGTCAGTCTCTCCCTTCACACTCTGTCTTCCACAAAGTAGTAAAGTTGACCCTCTGTATCCATGGGTTCTGCATCCTTGGAATTCAATCCACTGTGGATCAAAATATTCAAAAAAGACAATAAAAACTAACAATACAGAAAAAGTAACAATACAACAATAAACAATACAAATATAAAATATAGTACAACAACTATTTGTCTAGCATTTACATGGTATCAAGTGTTATAGGCACGCTAGAGATGATTTAAAGTATAGGGAAGGATGTGCAATGGATATGTACAAATACTATACCATTTTACATAAGGAACTTAGGCATCTGGGAATTTTGGTATTTACAGTGGTCCTGGACCAAATCCTCTGTGGATACCAAGGGATGACTATACAGGCTATCCTCCAAAGTCCACACCACATTTATTCTTCATTCTTTCTCACCTTTTCTATACCCTAGAGGCTGATTCTGTGGATTGCATCACCAACATCGTCCTGTCTAGCATCTGGTTGAGCTCAGCCCATGGCAGGCCCTGTCAGGAGATCAGAGGATGTGGGGAGAGTAAGGCCAGGGAATTTGACTGCACATGTATGCCCTGCCAGTCTGTGGCTTGTCAGTCACTGTGCCCTTCTACCCATGGCATCAGCTTCTCTAGGAACCTCCCACCCCCTAGATACATCTCTCTTCTACCCTTGACCTTTCAGTTCTAGGGGTGGCTTTGGCATCCTGGGGTGCTTCATCACCATTTCTTTGTTCCCTTAGTTCCACCGACACCTATATAAATACTTTGTGTTAAAAGTTTAATTACAGTTCTAAATGGGCTCTCTGTTTCCTGCTAAGATCTCAAAGGATACACTGATCGCAGAGGAATCTACCACTTGGCTGTATACTTCCTCTACACAGATCATCACGCCTTCCCTTTGTCCCCATGCTAAAGGTCAAGTTCATTAACCTGACAATTCAACACCCTTTTTTTTTTTTTAAAGATGACCAGTAAGGGAATCTTAACCCTTGACTTGGTATTGTCAGCACGACGCTCTCCCAAGTGAACCACGGGCCAGCCCTCAAGGCCCCTTTATTCTGTTAATAGAATCTCCATTCAGACTCATTTCCAGCAACAAAACCCCATAAGACACTTACGCTGAAGCTATGCCAATATTTGTTCAGAATAAACCAATATTCTCTTCCAATCATTTGTGTCTTAGAACATACTGTTCCTTTTATCTCAAGCTCTTGACTCTATTTAATTATTGAGTAAACTCCTGCTCATTCTTCACAGCTCTGCTCAGTGGCTTCATTCTCCTGGAAGCACTCTCTGATTTCTTGGCTGGTTCAAAGCCCTTCCTTGGAACTCCTACAGTGATCTGTGCTACTTCTGTCATGACACATATCTTATTAAATTGTGATTGTGTGGACACAGATTTCTTGCCAGTACTTAACCACGCAAAACTTACCTTCATTATAAAAATGCTGCTATAGGGCTGGCCCGGTGGTGCACTGCTACAGTGTGCCACTTGGGAGCGCGGTGGCGCTCCTGCCGAGGGTTCAGATCCCACATACAGAATGGTTCCCGCTCACTAGCTGAGCGAGGGGCGGGTGCAGCACCGAGGGTTGCGATCCCGTTGCCGGTCCCGGTCTGGTATGGGCGCGACACTGAGGGTTACAGTCCATTGCCGGACACAAAAAAAAGACAAAAAAAAGGGGGGGCGGTGAAATGCTGCTATAAATGTAACACATGGACGTCCTCACTGGCCCTGGGAATTGGACCTGAATGGCCAACAGACACATGAAAAAATGCTCGACATCACTCATTATCATGGGAATGCAAATTGAAACCACACTGAGACAATATCTCACCCCTACTAGACTGGTTTGTATCAAAAAGACAGAGAATAGCAAACGCTGGTGAGGATACAGAGAAAGGGAGATGATCCTACACTGTTGGTGGCACTGTACATTAGTGTAGCCATTATGAAAAATGGTATGGAGTTTCCTCAAGCAACTACAGGTAGAACTGCCATATGATCCAGCAATTCCACTGCTGGGTATATACCCAAGGGAATAGAAATCATCACATCAAAGGAATACCTCACTCCCTGTTCATCCCAGCTCTATTTACAATAGCCTGAAGTTGGAACCAGCCTAAATATCCAACATCAGATGACTGAATGAGGAAAATGTGGCATATTTACACGATGGAATATTACTCTGCTATACACAATAATGAAATACTACCATTCTCAGCAACTTGGATGAACTTAGAGAAAAGTATGTTAAGCGAAATAAGCCAGGCACCAAAAGAAAATACTGTATGTCCTCACTTACAGGTGGGAGCTAAAAATAAA